TGATATATATATATATATATATATATATATGTACAACATATATATTTGTTCTTGATGAAATAGGTAACTCTTAGCTGTTTTTAGTAAGCCTCACTCATAGTCCCATTAAGTCTTTATTTCAACAGCCTGCAATAACGACTGGCTGAAATCACAAGACTGGGATCAGAATTAGAAAGAGTATTAGGAAACTGAAACTTTTGTTACTTCCCTCGCTTGTACAGAGCTCAGAAGGGAAAGCTGTCTTGCTGAGGCTTGTTTTCCTACTACCTCACCAAAAGCAGCTCTGAAATAATTTTTATTGTGTTGTACCTGAAGACAGTGATTAAAAGCCTCTTTGCAAGTACATTGTGTTAAGCAGGCAAAAGACAATGCAAAGACTCTGAAAATAAAGATTACTAAATATGCAACTCACACACTGTCTTCGTCTTCTCACTACAATTACATACTCTTACACACATGCCATCTTGTACAGAAGACCAGTTTTCATACTAATAAACTGCAAAACCCTTTCCAAAGCTCCTGTATACAAGGAAAACTGTTAGTGATTTATCTGTAATTCCTTCATATCAATCACTCGCTTGTATCTTGCGTTTATTATTCATACGAGGGGTTGTAAGGTGGGCCCACTTTTTTATGTAGGACAGATTCATTTACTGGTCATGGAGTATAAATATGAAGGGCTTTTGCTTATAAACCCATTATGTAAACTCCTCTGCCTACTTATAGCTTATGGAGCATTCTCTTCCCACTTCGACTGCTGTAACTCACAGGAATTCACTTAAGTTATTCCTGGTTTACAGTACTGTAAGATAAGAGATGGAGAATACTTAACTTTAAGAAAATGGAACAGGTTTGCTATTCCCTAATACCCAGCATTATGCATTCCTAAAACCTTAAAATTACATGTGTGTTATAAGAAGGTGTTTTTTCCTGTCAGAATGCTGCTAGTGGAATTTTTTTTTTAAATCAAGAATCCACACCATTCAAATAGTAAGCTTCCAAGTCTCCCACCTTTGATTTGAAGTGCAATGATGTCTGAAGAAGAGTATTTATTTTCTCAGCCTGTACTGCTTATGGTTGGAGCTTTTGGATTTCCACTAACAAGGTTTGCATCCTGATGTCCATAGAAAGGAAAAAGATGTGCAGACTTTATCCAAATTAAATGCAAATTTGTTATGTGCTGATATTGCTTTTATGAATGCTGCTATGAAATTGCCTGTGTTTTGTACAGTACTCAGTTCTTCACAGGTCTGGGAATGGTGGGATATGGAGTCTTTTCTCAGCTGCTACTAAGCTGACTTGGTTAATGGACATTAGATTCCTTGAGAAATCCCTCATGAATCTTTTTGGTATTATCAATATCTGTTGGACCAAAGATTGAATTAGTGTGTAGACTGTTAGGGGTGACAGTGAGTTGGGTGGCATCATCTGGCTGACTTGCCACCATTTGTGCAGTCATTGCCATGAGCAAGGAATCTTCTACTCCAGATCTGGCAGAACAGCATCATTCACATTCTCTCCTTCTTTTTCTCTCTTTCTTTTTCTTGAGTTGCCTGTTTTGACTGCACAGATCAGGGGTCCTTCAGGAAAGCCTCCTAGAAAGATCATCAAAACACTGACTTGTGTTAATAATAAAGTGAGAATGTTAGTAGGTCTGTATTTTCTGCAGGAAATGCATAGGGGGCATAAGTTTCTGACCACCTGGAAGGATGTTTAGCTAATAACATTGCATCATTTTCGGACAATCACTTCTCTGACTAGTGTGTAGTCATTTCATGCTTGACCCCTGTATCCTACTGGTCTTCTTGGTATGTTTTTCCACCATTACTTGTGCACACAGTGCTTTTCTGCTGCATTATTAATGGTAACCTTTTCCCTACAGGCTGTCTTGTTAGTCAGCCATTGTTTTGACCTCCTGGCCTGAGTTATCCAGGAGGAAAATGTCAGTGGACAAACTTGTAGCTTTTTTGGTGTCCCTTCAAGAATGCTTTTGTTGTTTTTTGATTTTTTTTTCCTAGCTGTGGTAATATATAGCAACTGCCATCCTCGAAAGTGCAGAGCACAAAGGTGAGCTAATTATGGCTAAAGGCAGACCCCTGAAATGGTGAGTTTTGCCTGAGTGCTGTGGTTTGCATCACAGTTTAAAACAAGGCAAGTCTGTCATGTAGGAGAAACAAAACAGCAGCAGGAGCCCATAACCAACAAAACAACTGACCAATAAAAACCCTCACTTGACCCAACTCGTTTTCAGAGACATGCAAATGCAAAAGCTTTCTTTGGAGAAATGTTTGTGGATGGTAGCTAGCATTTGTCTTGTATCATTGTATATAAGCATAACTGGTTGATTGAGGTTTGCTTTTTTTGTCCACAGGAAGTGTGTGATTGCCTGATGGTCACCTGTGTTTCTTGCAAGGTAGCTGTTCACCTGCTGGGAATTCCAGTTCAGAATAATACTTGCAGGATTATCCCAGCTCTCCTGGACAGTGTTACTTTCCTACACTTCCCTGAGATTTGTTTGAAGTCTTTTGTGAATCTTTTCCCTAGAAATCAAAAGAAATACTTGTTTTGCTCTTTCAGGAATCCCTTGATAGGAGAAGGGTTATGAACATCAAGTTTTCTACCTGGACATATTTTCAATCATTTACTTTTGCCATTTTCCAATAAACACTTCATTGTAATATTATAGAAGATTTAGGCATATGATCACAAGAAGTGGCAATAAATATCTGGAGCTTAATGTTGAGCTGATCCAGAAAACACTGTTTCATCTTGACTCCAGTAGCTCTGGATCATGACCTAAGTGCTCTCTCAGGCTTTCAACGTCTGCTCATCTATCCAGTAAAATCTGATGACCTTAGAGTAGCAGAGAGGCTGAGAGTATTTGAAGAGTAAGAATAAAAGGAGGAACTGAATTATTTGACAGTAGATCTGATAGAGAAGGAAAAGAATAATGTTGTAGGAAAGAAGATGTAATCTTAAATATTTACTGCTCTGTTGTCAATGTCTCTGGACTGATTTAATATAGCATTATAAAAAAAAGTAAATTGTGCCAGACACACTTTCATTTTATATGAAAAAATAAATTTAGCTCCAACTCAGTAAATGTTTAGGAAAGTAACAGATATTGTCTTGTATAAAGAACCTAAGATCAATATCACTAACTTTTTAAAAGGACCTAAAGTTGCACTTTTATTACATGTTATAAATAATCTTGTCCTTAGTATTGTGTCCCCAAGCAAACAGATCAGGAACTCTTTAAGTAGGAGATTGGAGTTCAATGTGCTCAGGTTTTCAGTACCTCTAAGTTCCGCAAACTTCCATATCCTTATTGTGTTTGGGTTTTTTTCCCCCCAAAAATTAACTTTCTTTTTTCTGGGATGGCTGTTTTTTCCAGGGTTACTACTTTGCCCTTGGTTTAGATAGGTATAGCTAAAAACAAAACAATGCCTTCAGATATTCCTTTTAGGGCTAAGCACGGATACAGTGCCTGGGATATTATATGGAAGTCAGGCCTTTTCCTGCTAAGCACGCAGCTGTTGAAATAAATGGGTAGGTTGTGATTTCTGTACTGCTCAGATGGTTTTTGGGCTTCAATTGATATGTAGATACAGATATTAATATATTATTTATATATATAATAATAATATATAATATTATTATATAATTATATAATAATATAATAATAAAATATTAAGTTTATTATTTCTCCTTGTTCTTCTTAAAAACTCACCATAACACTGAATTATAGCATAAAAGGACATGTGTTTTGAGTCAAGTGTGTGCTTAAAGCAAGGGCTCAGCATCACTGTAGAGTTTAAATCTCCCTGCCCCTGTGAATTCTTTCCCAAATCACTGTCCTTTTCGGAGCCTGGAGAGATTTACTGATTAGGCACAAATTGGTTCTTAAGCAGAGAAAGCCAAAACGCCCTCCTCTGCTGGGGCTTGCTTCCAGAGGGGACCACTGCCATTCTGGTTCTCTTGCACAGCTGGCCACTCAGTAGGGCCAGCAGCTTTGTTAGGAGCATGGCTGTGAATTAGCATCAGACAGCTAAAGCTGTTACTGCCCATAGCTGTCTGCTCCACCCCGCTGGTGGTAAACCCACTTTGATGTCACGTTAACTCAGAATGCGGAGCTGAAAAGCGGTGTGAGTTAGGAGTTGATTCATGAGTGGATCAGACATCCCTGCCTTGGGGGCAGCAACATCTGTTAGGCAGGTGGGGAGGAAGGCAGGGAGTGCTATTGGCTTCAGCTGTCCAATTTTCATCTGCTGCTGCATGTCCATCAGAGCCCTGCGGTCACAAGTTGCCCTTGATTAAAATGTCCTTCCCAGCCTGAGCTATGCTGCTCCTTGTTCTCAATGGGATTGAGATTTACAGGATCAAAAGTTCTGGCTTTTCTTGACATATGGCCACAAGCCTATTGCAAAAGCAAACTCTTCTGACCATATGAGCCAGAGCTGTGTGATGCTTTCTCCAGCCCTCAGCATGAGGATAAGGAAGACTGTAGTTTGAAACTCCAGCAGCTGCCTTTTCCTTCTGCTTCTTCAGTTTTTCCGACATCTTCTCTAGTTTACTAGATTTGTCAAAACCTGCACTTAATTTTGCAAATCTCAGTAATTTTCTCTGTTTACGTTGCACTACATTTTGCTAACATGTTTTAGTAAATCTTTTTCTCTATTCAGACCTTAAAGTCAGCTGCAGTGAACAGTTAGCCATGCAAATACCATAGGGTTAGCCTGGGCAACCGAGTGCTTTCTTTTAGGATACCCCAGTTGTTCTCAATCTAAGGACTACCTGTTACAGACAGAAAACCATGGTCATCCTGGACATTGTAGGCAAAATAGTTAACTTTAAAAATTTGGGTGTAATTTGTTGTTTGTCTTTGTTTGTTTGTTTGTTTTCTGATTTGCTTGGTGGCTTGCTTTTATCTGTAGGAACCTCTATATGGTTTTATTAAAAATGATAATCCCATTTATGAATGATTTCCTGATCTCTTGCAGGCTGAGCTCTGCTGACCATCTGAAAAGTCTTGACAGCCTCTGAGAAATTTCAGTCATAGACAAAGTCTTTATTAGTAAAGCAGAAACTGCTGAAAGTTGTCAATTAGTCTTGTATTTTTTTGAGCAGCCTCCCAAATTCAAGTAAGATGGAAGAAGCTGATTTGCTTGATTAAATTAATCTTGTGGTGTATTAAAGGACTTTACATGAACTACACCTAGACTGGGGTCAATTATGGGGTATACAGGTGCCCTTAGTAAAGAAGCTATATTTCAGGAGTGGCTTGGGACACACAGAGATGCAGAACTCATGCTTTGGAGTGCATGACAAGCTTGGTAGTAGAGATGTAGCTCAAACCTCTTCTGTTTCTGCTTATGATGACAAAAATAGTGTTGCTAAATAGTCCTGCCTTTCTTTCTGGCATGAAATCCATGAAAAAGAAATGAAAGACACTTGTTCTTATCTTTTATGCAGAAGAAACTAGTTGCACTGGAAGCAGTGCTGAAAGAAATAACCTCACTGTAGGATCTTCTGGCAGTACTTACCAGAGATGAATAAGGAGTGAGAACATCAGAAAGCAGAGGATGTATGGGTGAGTGGGACAAGCCATGTCATGAAAGCTTTCATTAGAAACTGGATTTATTCTCCGGGGTTCTTTTAATATTTTTTGTTTATTGTTTTCTAATAAACAAAAAAATGCCTCTTATATATGTGTATTAGTGGGAAACACAGGAGTAGTACTGCTGGTACTCAGCCTGTGCAAAAGTGCAAAACCTGCAGTGGAGCTGCTTTCAACTCCCATTCACTCTCAGAGCTGGAGAAATAAAAATACAGATGCCCAGAACAGGTAGAAAAAAAATTAAAAAAATTAAAAATCTGTAGTTCTGTAGTCCCAGTAAAACTCACCGTATACTCGCAAAAACTTTGCTCTATCAAAATTCCCATGCTTTTCCTATAGCCAGTTCATAGCCCATTATTTTACAGTTATGAGATTATTATTCTTCTAAGGTACCAAATCAGATATATACCTTAGAACAGGAAAATATTAGAAATGATGTATCCCTTCACTCCTTTTTTAGTTTGATGATAATGAGCCAAAATTGACTTGGCTTTGTAGAAGTACAGGTCTGGATTCAGATTAGTTATACGCTACATACGCTTTCGCTGTAGGAAAAAGTCTGTGCAAAACTCCTGAAAGAAGTTGCTAGCTCTCTGAAATAAAATGTTCCTCATCCATATTTTCATTTGTTCTCTTTCTTTTTTTTTTTTTCCTCCTTTTTCAGACCCCCTAAATGAATGTGGGATTGTTTGTTTTCTGTTAATTAAAACTATTATCTAAATTATTTCATTATCCCAAGTTTATTGACTCACTCTGGTCGGGAGTGAGTAAGAAAGATTTGATCAGGTAAATATATATAGCTGAGGAAAGTATGCGTTTAATGTGGGACTTGGCATGGGTTTGTGCCAAATACTATTTTAGATTTATTTTCTTTTAATACAAAAGATGGTGAATAAAGATAGTTATTTAGTCTGTTTTCTGTTTCTCTGAAGTGAGTGCTAGTGTTGCATTGATCAGGTACAGGGTTGGGTGTGTTCTTGCCCCTTCCATTGCTTTCCTTACTCCTTTCCTTCCGATCAGTGTGTCTCTCTTGTTCTGCCTCAGATTAGTGGATGAAGGAAATCAAAGCAGATGCTGTCTCCTGTGGGCTTGCGTACAGTTTAGGGTGGAAAGCGGATTACAGCCACAGAAAGACTTGCATTAGATCTTTAGCAGACTCCCTCAGACCTCTTTGCTTTGCTACACAGTATGTCCCAAAGCGTCTACTTGCAGTATAACATGGGATTAAAAACCACAACTATGACCTGCCCCAGAAACAGACTAGGGAAGAGGGAAAGTGTTGCCAGTCCCAAAGTACCCTGTGTTTCTGAATCATATCCTCCTAGGCAGTGTTCTCCAACTCCTGTTTTCTTGCGTTCAGCTCTGTGTATTTTCAGCTTCCACTGTGAGAACTGATATGGAGGGGATGTAAATGAAGTTGTCAACCAACCGTTTTCATTATCATCTTTGAAGTTTTGCTGTTTCTTACCCTCTATCATTTTTCTTTCAAATCTCTTAATCTAAGCACATGCCTCAGGAAAGCATTAAAATAACATATTGACTTCTGCAGCTCCTGCCTCTCTTCTAACAAACATTTATGCAGGTTTGAGACCAACACAGGGTGCATGGAGCCATCACAGTGATGGCTGTTGAGCTGGGTTCAACTCCTAGACTTTTGTCTGCTAGAGCCTGCTCTCAGACTCTGCCTTGCTCTGACTCTTGACTCAGAAGTGCCCAGGGTGCAGGCAGAGCCTGATGGCTACCTACACACCTCTGCCTTACCTCTGGTCTTGGTAGTCTGTTTCCATCACGCTCTCAGTTCCTTCCTAATAATTCCTGGTTTCAAACATATTCTGTTTGAAACAGAAAATGTTTCACTTTGCTGTCTTCTCTGTTCTCAGATTTCTGATTTATGCAGATTCTTGGGATGCAGAATAGAGTGTAACACAGACCCTGCTGGTAGTCTCCCTCTGCTGCAAAAACTGGCCCTTTCTTTTAACTGGTTATTAATCTAGGGAGGGGTCTTTGCTCTCTCCCAGGTATTTCTGTATTTTTTTGTTTTGTTTGGAGTTAACTGGAAGTTCAGATGTAATTGAAGGTAAACCTTTGGGTCCAGAGGAGGAATTTAAAGAGGACTGAGGGCTGAGAGAGTTGGGATTGCTCACTTTGGAAAAGACAGCGCTCCGGGGGGACCTTATTGTGACCTTTTAAGGCTTATAGGAAAGATGAGGACAGACTTTTTAGTAGGGCCAATAATGATAGGACAAGGGGCAAGGGTTTAAACCAAAAGAGGGGAGATTTAGACTAGATATTAGGAAGAAATTTTTTACTGTGAGGGTGGTGAAGCACTGGAACAGGTTGCCCAGAGGTGGTGGAAACCCCATCCCTGTGAACATTCAAGGTCAGGCAGGACAGAGTTCTAAGCAGCCTGATCTAGTTGAAGATGTCCCTGGTCATTGCAGGGGAGTTGGAACTAGATGATCTTTAAAGCTCCCTTCCAACTCTAAAACTATTCTATGATTCTAAATCAGTTATGAAAAAGGAATCTGGATTGTGTTTGTCTTGTCTTCTTCAGGAAAGAAGTTGTGAATGGGGTAGAGCTTTCAAAAATCATGAAGGAACAAGATGATAGCCTGTACAGGCAGAAGAGCATACCTCTTTCAGACGATTCAGTCTTTGTTGTGGTGTCTTGGAAATAGCATGCGTAATTCTGCTAAGTGCACTGAATCATTAAATACTGTAAGCTCTTTCCATTATTAATTGTTCTCACATTCTATAAAGCAGGAAAACAGCCAAAGGTGCATAATCTTAATTCCCAGTCTCCTTATATAATTTAACTAGTGTTCAGTGACCTTTATCTGGAGAATGATTTTTTAAAAGCCTTTTCAAAATCTATTTTTTTACATGACATCCATACTTTCAGCTATGCCTGAGGTTTTTTGCCAAGCTTAGGGGAAGGTCAGGATATTATATGAAACGGATCATCTTGCTTATAGCCACGCTCCAATAAAGAAATAAAAGAGATCAGTAAAGCATGTTGAAGCCATGATAATCCAGATTTTGGAAATTCCTGTTAGCAGAACACTTGCGGGTATTAAGAGAAAATATGTTTTCTTTAAGGATGAGTACCTGCAATAGCTGCTGTCACTCAGCGACTGAGAGCTTTCTGTGCATGCGGATATCACGCCCAGCTCAAAAAAGTGTTGTTCACGTGGCAGTCTTGATATGTGCCTTATTATGGTCAGATCAGTTAAAGGAGAAATATGTCAAAACTGATCACCCTTCAAACTACATTAGCCTTTTTTTTTTTGGAAACTGGGAGATTTTTTTCACTGAGAAGGTTGTAGCTGCTTAGTCCTGATTGGGCAACCACCTTTTCTCCCCTGTCTGTTAAGATAAAATGTGAACTTCTTTAAACTTTCTTTGCTTGAAGATACTGGTGGACAAATAACAGATAGCTAAACAAAATCATCAAATTCAGTAATATGTCACCAGTGATCCAAACAGCAGAATTCATTGTTCATTTTAAATAAAAGCAAACCAAAATCCTTTGTGTATTCCAGGGCAAGGTATTCCCCAGGGAAAAAGAAAATCTAGGGAGTGCTTAATGCTTGATGTGCTGTGGTATATATCCTATTATAATAATGAAAAATTCCACTTGTCACCTGCTGTATTTTCTGACTGTTCACCTTTTAGATACAGAAGTCTTCAAGGGCAAGTTCAGGAAATTAAGATAGAAGAAACAAAACGAGATCAATATTTGCTATCTTTTTTTTAAAAAAATAAGTTTTACTTGGATTGAAGAGATCCTGTTATAAGGTATGTATAAGGTATGTCCGTATGTTGTACATTTTGAGCTACATCCTAGGCTGATCATACGTATATCAAAGCAATGAAAAAGTGTGTAGAAATATGGGCAAGAGAGATTGATTTATTAATTTTTAGGGGAACTATTCTATCATACATTGTTCATATGAGAAAGTAAACCCCAACTGTGAACCAGTTGCAATGCAGTGAAATTTCCTACCAAAAAAAGAAAAAAAAAGAAAAGTTTAAATCAGCTTAAGTTTTGCATAGAAAGTATTGTTCAAATTCCTGTCCTGGTGTTGCTCATAGAAATGGAGGCAAAATTGTATTACTCAGTTGTGAGAAAGCCAGGACTGGGTAGTCATCAAAACAAATTACTGATTTCTGATTAATTCTAAAGTAACAGAGATAAAGCTGCTATAGAACTATGTGTTTATTTGTTTATAATGTTCCTGGCCAAAGTGTTTCACTGAGCACTGACCTGTTGGGTAACTAACGTTGTAGGTCATGTGTTACTTTCTGTAGCTCTGGTAATTATAAGTTTAAGAGGTATATCAAGCATTAAAATTAACTCCTCCTGCCAGGTGAGGGTTGTTTTCCAGAGCAGACGTTGTACTTTCTTATGGTATTTAATATCTTAAGGGTTCAAGCTTCTAGAAGACCATTCGAGTCTGTAACTGTGAGAGCAGGAGAAACCTGGCAAAACAAAGAAGTCAAGCAGCATCCCTTGAACACATGAGCTGTGGGCAGGAAATATAGTGTATTTTTCTGTTCTCTATTTTATCCCATTATTCTCAGCCTTGTTTCACATTACTTCTTGAAATTTAATCCTTACACATACAGGTAGTTAATCCTAGTGGACAACTGAAGGGTAAAGCATTATTTACTAAAATGTGGTGTCAGACCTTGAGGGTATAAAGTGGGAGTATCATTCTGTTCGTCCTCAGGAGAAAATGGGCACAGGCAGTCCTATCTTAGTGTTGTGCTGGGAACAAAGTACATGACTTTCATGTTCCTGTTCTAATGCCAAAGCCTAAATTTATAGGTAGGACTGACAGTTGCTATAGATGTAGTGTTGTTTGTGGAGTGATCAGATTTGCTCTGGAAACTGCTGACATGGATCTCTACCTCAATGGTTTCTGAAGTTAATTTTTTGAGTGAAGTCTCAATATAACTGCTGGAGATTTTAACTTGCAATGGATTTGTCACAGGTTGGAGACATTCCTAAGAGAAATGCCCTCTAGATTTTACATGATGTCACATCCAAAACATATTCCCCGAAAATGGACACACTAACTTAGAGGAAACAAATACAGAGAACAGACATTTTTTACTATTTATTAATAATTTTAACTTCAAAACTCAAGTACATTTGAAAGAGAAAAACACATGCTGCTCCAATAAAGATCCTCAAGTAAGTCCTTCTTAATAACTATTGTTCATACTCTCATTAGCACTTAAAGCAGATAGAAATGAATCTTCTAAGTGACAGAGAAAGAAGATTAGGAAAACCTTTACTGTTGAAGTCACCAGTTACAAAACGTTTCCTTTTTAAAGCCCATCCAAGCATAACAGCAGTTTCTTTCTCAGTAGATTAAGTAATCTTTTTATTTGAAAGACTTTATTTAATTATATACTGTTGGAGGGTGATTTACTGTTATCCAGTGTTTATAGGGATTTTCATTGCAGGAAAGTTTTTAGTTGTTGGCTTTTTTTGGTAGGATTTTTTTTTTTAATTCACTTCCAGAAAACTTTAAATGTGGGGTCTTGTAAACTAACCTGTGTTTTCATGAAGAGATACGTAGACAGATACGTAAACAGACCTGTGTTGTAGAAGTGAGGTATAATGATCTATAACTGTGAAGTTAACACTCTGTCAAGCATTAGGCATTTTAAAAAAAATAAGTTGTTGTTTGCCCTTGAATATCCAGAGGTATTGAAATACAGGTTTTGCACCAGTTTAAAAGTCCAATTCTGCAGTACCAGTGGTGTTTATTTACTTTTCCTTGTCACATATTTTTTAGTATTATGAATAATACCTTTTTTCCAGACATGTAAAATATAAATGAACCTTGAATATATATGTCTGAAAGCATTCTGAGAGCAAGCGGTCATTGTAAATAGTGCATTAGTGGGCCTCACTTGAAGCTGAATAGTATCCAACTGTTTATATTCAGCAAATAAAATTAAGATACTATTTCCTGATATAGAGGAGCATTCTTTGTGAATGTGGCATTGCAAGCAGAGCTGTCTGGAAAGCAAACTTAGTGCTCTGAGTGCAGCACTCTGCTGCTCCTGGATCCCCGACTAATTTTGCTATGTGGCTCTCTGCTGCTGTCTGTCCATATGCCAGCTCTATACGTCACCACTAACTCAGGGATCTTCACTCAGCCCACCTCTGCAAAGTGGGAACTTGCCCTTTCCCTCTTTGAGGGGGATTCATTTGCTCAAATGTAGACCTTTATGGTGTGTCTCCATCTGAGGAAACTGCTAAACTCAATTTGCAGGGAATAGAACAAGGATGAATGATCCTGGGGCCCTAAAAATGCCTTTCTTTGTTATTAACAGAGCCTATGGTGCAATCTATAGTTGAATGTTATGAAGCACACCTTACGTGACCCATTAAAGTTTAGTCATCTGAACCTAAATGTTGGCAGTTAAATATATGTTTTGGGGAAATTCAGACTAATCATAAACCCAGGAGTAGTAGTAGCCTGAGGAGCATAAATCTGTAAATTTTCACCTACTGGAGGTCAAGGCTTGCTTGAAAATGTTGGCCTTTCTCAGTTACCATCTTATAAAGTATAATAATACTGATTTTTAATTACAAATGATTTTATGCTCTCCATAAAGTAAACCGTGCCTAAAGCCACTGTCACATAAGAAGTACACCATCAAGGTATGACAAGTCTTACTCTCTTTGCACTGGCCTTTAAAGATCACTTGATACAATACCTGAGGTATTAATCCTGTTTTTGATGTGTGTTACTGTCTATACATCCAAGAAAATAGGATACTAATTACTTCAATAGCTATTTCTGAATGCAGAGTAAGTAAATATAGTACTTGGTACTTCTTTCCCTTCCCTTTCTTTGAAAATGTATGTATGGAATTTGTCCTAAATAGCTCCACCTAAAGAAAAAGCCTGAGGGGTATTCTGTTTCAGGATGTGTCTATAGAATAA